GTTACCATTGTTGACTGAAAAGCTACCGATTCCGTCATTTTCGCTGCAATGCGTGATGAAGCCATCAAATGTGACCATCAGTGCAGACCGAGCGTCATTCAGCGAGGAAAAGGTATGCTGGGCGTTTTTCCACAATGGCGTGTCGACGGGGCTGGCGATTTCGAAAGCGTCGAAGGGAATTGATACCTCGTGGATCTTGTTCAATAAGCCGCAAGACCTGACGAACCGACATGCAGGCTTCCTGCTGGCCCTGGGTCTGAATGGGCATCTCAAGTCGCTGGCGAAGTGGGTTGCATTCAAATACTTGACGCCGAAGCATACCATGACATCAATTGGGCTGTTGCTAGGCCTGTCCGCGTCGTATCTGGGCACGATGGACACCCTAATCACGCGTCTACTTTCTGTACATGTAACGCGAATGTTGCCTCTTGGAGCAGCGGAACTCAACTTGTCATCGTTGACGCAGACTGCCGGTATCATGGGCATTGGTTTGCTCTACTGTAATTCGCAACACCGGAGAATGAGTGAGGTCATGCTGTCGGAGATTGAAAACTCGGAGCAGGAAGACAGTTCTTCGACATCGCACGAAGACTTGCGTGACGAAGGATACCGACTAGCCGCCGGTTTTGCGCTTGGATTTATCAACCTTGGCAAGGGCAAAGATCTCCGGGGTATGCGAGACATGCACATCATGGAGAGACTGCTGGCTATTGCGGTGGGAACTAAGAACATTGACCTGGCGCACGTCTTGGACCGGGCTACTGCTGGGGCAACAATTGCGTTGACTATCATTTTCATGAAGACCAACGATGTATTCCTGGCGCAGAAGATCGACATTCCTGATACGACGGTGCGCTTCGACTATGTCCGACCTGACCTCTTCCTTCTTCGAACGCTGGCACGACACTTGATTATGTGGGACAGCATCCAGGCCAGTGAAGAATGGATTATCAAGAGTCTTCCAAAGATCTATCGCCGGCGGTATCGGCTGACTGGCGTTCGTCGCCTCAAGAGTGACGATATGCCGTTCTTCAACATCATTGCTGGTCTTTGCTTCACATTGGGTCTTCGATATGCCGGCACTGCGCAAACGCACGTGCGTGACCTTTTGGTTTCATATCTAGACCAGTTCATGCGGATTTGCCGACTGCCCGCGATGAACTACGATGGACGACTCACTCGAAACTCGGTCCGGAACTGTCAGGATATCGTCGCGCTCTCTGCCGCCACTGTGATGGCAGGAACCGGGGACTTGGTACTATTCCGACGACTGCGTTCGCTCCACGGCCGCGTGGACCCAGATACCCCGTATGGCAGTCACATGGCAGCACACATGGCCGTTGGCATGCTCTTCCTGGGCGGAGGCAGTTACACACTGGGCACATCGGACCTAGCAATCGCCTCATTGCTCTGTTCGTTCTACCCAATATTCCCGACTACAGTACTGGATAACAAATGCCACCTCCAAGCATTCCGACATCTATGGGTTCTAGCAGCAGAACCACGCTGTCTGATCCCCCGTGACATCGACACGCGCCGACCCATCTCAATCCCAATTACAATCAGCATAAAGAACAACGGCCGACGCAAGCTAACAGCCCCATGCCTCCTTCCCGACCTATCTGAGGTCAGCAAAATCGAAGTCCGAAGCACAGACTACTGGCCACTAGTCCTAGACTTCGGCCCCAACCAAGGCCTCCGCGAGAAATTTCGCCAGGGTGACCAATCAGTGTACCTCCGCCGCAAAACAACATACAACCCAACGGGCTCCTCAGTCTTCGTATCAACCTTCACCGGCCTCAGTGAAACACAAGACAAGACCTCCTCCGCCACGAATCCCGCCTCAACGGTAACCATAGCAAACAACCAAATGGCCCTCGCCCCCTTACCTCTCTCCATGGACTCGCAAACCGGAAAACCACCCACGCCCTCTGCAAAGAGCCTCTGGGACTGGATCTTCCACCTCTCCTCCCTCCGTGGTTTGGACATCCGCGAACGCTCGCTCGCCATGCCCTCCTCCTTCCCGACAATGTCAGGGAGCCGGAAGAACACATTATCCAGCAACGCCCCCTGGCTCCGCATGTCTGCCGTAGATACCAAGTTAGTCCTCGAGCGCAATGTATCGAACATAGTGAAGGCAGCGGTGAGCGCAAGAGGCGCAGGACCCGATGAAGTCCGTGATCGGCTGTGGCAGTTACGATTGTTGTTTGGCTGGGTTGATGCGCAGCTGGAGAGAGCTATTGTTGATGTTGACGACGGAGATGATACGGAGGTCGAGGGTGAGGATGCTGGGGTTGATGGGGATAGCCAGATGGTGGGGAGTGAGATTACGGCTACGAGTAAACGAGGACGCGGAGGCGAAGGAAATGGGTTGTGGCTGAGGAAAGAGTTTATTGAGGAGGTTCGGTGGAAGATTTGGGGGGTACAGGTTGGGGAGGATGGGCATGTTTAAAACTTTCTTTGTTTCTACAGTTATGATTGTGGTTATGATTATGATATCCATGTTCTTCGTTATCTTGTGAGTATGCATGCAATGACTTTTATAAACGAGAAAAGAAGGAGAAAAAAAAAAAAAAAAAAAAAAACACGAAGCGTATCAACGCGGCCGAATAGTGCCCTCCTTCAAAACACCCCGATCACCACCACCACTCTTCTGCCAGAGCCAAACACCCTCTACAGCCCAAGCCGTAGCACTAGCATGTCTCCCAATACCAGCCCCTTTGAGGGGCACCTTACTCCCATCGCCCTCGATTGTATTTGTAGAACCGTCCGCCTCTGCCAACATAATCGCAACAGCACCCTCCTTCTCAACGACTTCCCACATCCCCTCGACAAGCGGACTGCCTCTCTCACCAAACTCCCCGCGTCCCAGCCTATACAATATCCGCCCTAGGATCTGCCACGCGACACACCGCTGCGCAGGGAACGACGACCGCCCTAGAATCGCCAGCTCAGGAATCGTATATCCCGCCGCCTGTGGATCGCTCCCGTGATGATGCAAACCCAGCGTCGTCGGAAGGGACAACGAAGTCGACGGCGCAATGATAGTCCCAGTAAGCGAGAACCGAATCGCAGCGGGATGGATCGTTTCTGCGGTACTTTCGGGGTCGTAGGGTGATGTCCTGGAGGTATCTATACCTGCTTCTTCGGCGGAGGGTTCGGGTTGGAGCCAGTTGAGGGAGGAGGGGTCGTGGGGGGTGTTGGGGAAGTAGTGCGTTTGGAGGTCAGAGAGGAAAGACGAAGAGGATGGGTCGAGGGGTGGTGGGTTTGTTAAAGTGGGTGGTGGTGTTGGGAAGTGGAAGGAGGGGGGAAGTTCGGAGGCGGGATGGAGGTCGGAGGGGAGTGTTGGGGGTGGAAGGTCTTCGTTTATCGGGGGTTGTTTTTGTTGTGATGGCTGTGGTTGTAGTTTTGGAGGTGGTGAGGTTTGTTTTAAAGTTTCTGGTTCTGGGACGTCGAAGGAAACCGATTTGGTTGGTTTTTTGGAGAATTCGGGTTTTTGCTTGGATTGAGGCTCTGGCTCTGGCTCGTCGATAACGGCTCTGCGGAGGAATCTTTCGAGAAGACCAGGGTCGATCGAAGACATTAATTCCTCCCGCTCTTGTTGTATTTGTTCATCCGACAGCGACGCCAACTGGCGCCGATTCTCCTCATCGATAGCTTTTTTCTCATCGCTAATGGGACCCGTGGCGAGACTTTGTCCTTGCTTCTGCTGTTCCTGCTGCTGCTTCTCCGTCCTGCGCTGCTTAAAAGCCGACCGCTGAAATCGTTTTTTATGTTCAGGAAATCCCGTCCCGGTCGGAGGTTTAGGCGCTGGAGGAGCCGCGGCGGTTGGTGCACGTTCTTGAATCTCGCCGATGAGGGAAAACGGAGAGGCTGTATCCTCGAACGAAGGGATATTCGGAGCTAGTTCATTGTCATTGTCGAGATCAATGACGAAACGTTCACCGGGGAAGGCCATAATGGGTGATTTGATGAGAATATACTGAATCGAGAGGAAGTGAAGCTATACAAAAGCGCCGAATCGGGATGCGGCTCAAAAGCTAAAATTGGTGCAGATGAGCTAGCCGTATTGGGAATAGTGTGGTCTGTGTGTCGATGTACAGACCCTTGTAGATACAAACAGTTCGGGGGGGATCATGGTTTTACAAGGTCAGTATTTAATATAGAATATATAATATTGAATTACCATGACAAACAGTTATGATACCGACGCCTCTGTTTATGCAGTATTAAACCGGACTGAAACCAGAGTATGGTACAAGTACAGTTGTATCAATGCGTTGCATACTATGATACCAACCGGGGGTATGTTGGCAATAACTTGGACGTAAAGTCTTCGTGTACGAAGATATTATATTAATCCTTAATATCTACTCGCACCATATCGCTTAATATGAGATATAGAGCGATACTTGCCAAGTACTAGCGCTTCGTAGAATTGCGTACCCAAGTATCTGTCATGGTGGTATCAGATATCGGCGCAGTGGAGGAACGCAGATATCCATGAATGCAGAATATGTGGCCGGAGTCAGGAAGATACATTATTGCATGGATAGGTTCAAGTAGATATCCCTTAAGAACATATTACATACTTGCACCTTATTGAGTTCTCTGTTTTATCCGTGGTTAACTACTATATACCACGGCATCTGCCCATATCAACCCTCTAATAAAGTCCCCCTTTCTGTGTCTGTTTCTTCCGCCTTTTTCTCGCTTTTTTCCGTTTGTTCTTTTCTCCTTCTTTTCCCTCTTTTTCCTACCTTAACTACGTCCATCTCCCGTCCTTTTCCATCCATCTTTCCCCATCTTTTTCTTTTTCTTTTTTTTTTTTTTTATATATTTCTTCTCTTCTCTTCTCCGATTCTTGTAATCTTCTTTCTCTCGTTTTGTTTTCTTTTCCACACCTCTTTTCTAACCCCATTTTCAACTTCACTGCTTGTCCTCTTTACACCACCTCTTCAACCACACCACCTCTTATCCCTCAACTCGTCTATGCTAATATGTCCACGGAACCCGACCACAATCCCATCGCCCAAGAACAAGATGCCGGCATCGACACCGAAACACGCGCGGAAGATGCGTTGAAGGGCCGGCGTGTTTCTGCCGGGACTCGTCGGTCGCGTCGAAAGAAGGACGACGACAACAACACGACCGAACCGGAGGATAAAAAGAAAGAGACCAAGCCCAGGAATAACCGCCGAAAATCCAATCCGGCGTCCACAGCGAATAATACCACGTCGTCTCGGAAAAAACCCAAACTGGAGAATAACGATGCAGCCACATTGCCTCCCCCATATCAGCCTCCACAACAACAGCATCAACATGCACAACAATCACAACAATCACAACAACAGCAGCAGCAGCAGCAACAACCTCCTCCGCCACAACCTCCGGCCTTCCACCACTCGTATCCCAATAACCACCACACTCCTTCTCACATTCCTTCCTCGTATCCTCTAACCCATTCATTACCGCCCTCCCGTCCACAATCTCAACCGCCTCCGCCGCCGCCCTCAGTTCCGCAGAGAACGAGTGGTCAGAACTACGATCCCATCCGATCGGCCTTGGATGACACCGCGTCTCCCGCCCCGACCCCGTCCGCCGCCAGTCCTCCCACTCGCAGTGCTTTTCGCGCCAGTGCATCGCCGGCCATTGCTAGTATCATTGATCATCCCACTGCAACAAGTAACTCTCAACCTATTTACTCGCCTGTTCCTCGTCGTGCTTCTCCTCATGTTCACTCGAATCTTTCCTCTCCCGCCCATCCCAAGGCCCCGACGCCTTCTCATCCCTCCCTAGCTCCCTCGCCCTTGCCGTCTTCGTCCTCCCCGTCGCATCCTCATGGATCCCTACTTACTCCTCACCACTCGCTGCCGCCTGCTTTACAACCACTGCAAGCTTCACATTCCTACGCTCATCAATCTCCGTATCCTCCTGCACAGCAATCGCAGCAGCAGCAACCTCGTTATGAAGACCAGAAGCCTCCCCAACCAGAATCAGCACGACCGGTAGCCCAAAGTGAACAACAAGCACAAGCGCAAGTCGCAATGGATGTGGACCAACCGGAGCCCGCTGTTTCTCAGCCCACAAAGACGACCAAGAAGGAGAAAGAGAAGGAAAAAGAAACCCCGAAAGAAAGAAAAGAAACCTCCTCCAAACCTCCCTCGCCCAAGACTGGTCGCGCTGCCAAAGACAAAGATGCTCCGTCCAAGCTGCCCCAAGGATCGGGATTGATCTCGAATGCCCTGTTTGGGGGCGGTGACAATACAGATTCATCAGACACCCCCACCACGCCTAGCATTATTCTACATGTTCCCTTGAACGGCACTACCAATCGAATCATCAATTTCGCACGTTTGGCCGAGGAACAATACGGGTTTGCTGCTCTACATCCACGATTGGCTGCTCACAAGGAGCAACTGGCGCGTGTGGCTGCCGCAGGTGCCATGTTGGAGCGGAACGAGAAAAGCGCCAAGGGTCTACTGTCCGCCGGTGAGAGCGCCGACGAGGATCTGAGTTTGGACATGGAGCGCGACAGTGACCTCGACGGTGATGTTACCATGTCTGGCGCAGCCAATGTCAACGGTGCAGCGGCCGCAGATGGAGCGGAGGGGAAGAAGAAGCGCCGCAAGAAGATTGAAGACTACGATCGGGATGATCCCTTCGTCGACGATACTGAAATGGCCTGGCAAGAGCATGCTGCTGCGAGTAAGGATGGATACTTTGTGTATAGTGGACCTTTGGTGCCGGAGGGTGAAAAGGTGCAAGTCGAACGGTTAGTCTCCCTTCTAGCTCCCTTGCTCTACACAATACTAACTTGACCAGGGCCGACGGAACTATCAAACGCGGCCGTGGCCGTGGACGTGGAGGTCGCAGTCGTGCAGCACCAGCTACCAGCCATCAAGTCCCTCTGGCGGCTGCCGTACCTATTTCCCAGGAAACCGGGTTGCCCCTTCGTGGTCCAGGATCGCGTGGCGGCAGCACTACCCGTCGTCCTCGTGTCAGCAAGGCTGCGCGCCAGCAGATGGAGGCGGAAAAGGAGAAGCAAGGCAACCACATCTCGCCTGTCTCGAATGGACGCGGCGGTGGAACGGCTGGTCGTGGAGGTGGGCCTGGAAGTCGTGGAGGCAAAACTCCATCGGCGGCTAGCGCCAGCAATGGCGGCAGCAACAGCAACATGAATAACTCAACACCCCAGCCGAACGTTGGTCCAGCACCGCCGGGGCCGAGTCCTTTGTCGGGGCCGGAATTGGTAATGAAGTGATTCTTTGTCTTTGTATGTCGGAATTGTACTCTCGATCCATGACATCGGTGTTTGTTTGTTTTCGGGTTATATGATCTTTCCTCCAGCGCCAGAAGGACCACGGGTCAGACGATTTGCTTCTATCTATTCTTGTTATCCGGATCTTATCAGGTCGATTATCCATGCTATCGTTCGTCAGATATGAATGGCACCTCGTTTTCTTTGTGACAATAATGAGAGTTATACATGGCTAACATTGCTTTGAATTGACATGGCTTTACTTGAATATGCTGTTGAGTAGATGTGCTTAATGCAGTAGGTCACATGACAGGGTAACCTGCATACGGACATAATGGCTTGTGCCCTAACAATGTATGCACGGGGTAAAGCGCTTCAAAACAATACTGACCAACACATGTAGCGTTTCAAAAAGCCCAGTAGTGAGTCTTGTGTATTTGAAGATTTGATTTTGGTCATATAGTTTATTTCATCATTCATGACTGCGAGTCAGAATCAGACTACGTAGTGTAGTATGCATCGTCCGGACAGATGGAACTAGCTTTATTATTGCTCGTATTTTAAATGTTATTATCGAGTCCCCTCTCCTTATCAATTGCTTTCAAGCTTCTTAGACGTTGATTTGCTTGTTAGCATAGCTGCATAGGCAGACTAGGGTTCCGAGTCAGTGCCCTTTCATTTTCTAGCCCGTACCACTAAAACAGCCACGATCTTCAATCACCACTTATCGAAGACGGAGAACAAATAATATTAAAGGCTCAGAGCATTTACTTGGTCTGTATCAGCAAGGACCCTGCTCCCCCCGATGTCAACGGGACGCTCCGTCCCTATCAGCACCTATCAGGATACAACATCCATACAGGTACGTTTGGATAGCAAGATAAACCCACGACTTATCATGGCCATGACTCAGGGGACTGACTGGTCTAGATGATAAGAGCAGGATTTAAACACTGCGCATCCCCTCTGCTCTTTCTGGTTTTGACCTTCTCTTCTTGGTTCCAGTTTTTTTGGGGTCGTGATGACTAACCCTCTCACAACCTTAATGGTACCTCCGACAATGTCCCGGACTGGATGGTGTGGCCAGGCATTTATCGGCATGAGGGTTCTGTCTATTGGATAATTATATGCCGTTGTCATATGATGTCTTAACCGGAGTATTTACTCGGTATTCGAGAGCCGCAATGCTACAGACTGAATGCCACGGAGCACAGAACATCTTCTCGGGCGAATGTTCAGACCAATCAGACAATCCTCACCATTCAAGCACATAATTCGATTGCCAAATGCTTTCCAACCTTATCTGTGCTCCACTTTTCCGATATTTGGGTCTCCAGCTTGTCGGAATGCCGACGAATCGGGAAATGCAGCCCTGCAGACTCCCGAGTGCTGAGCCAAACCTGTCGCGTGGTTATGGACTCTGCCGTTAGAGCCGTTCCTTGGAGAGCATACTCGTATTATGCTTAGATTCTAAGCCTTTGGGAGTTCCGTGGCGGTTCCACTGTGTCTCCGAATCTTTCCTACAATCTATACGGGTGTTGTACTACCCCTGTGCTACTGCGAAATGGAGCCAGAAGAGTTTTTGTCTCGCGTTCTGCTCTTTTCCCATTAACTTTCTGTCAACTTTATTCATCCTTACTGGCCATCATGGTTGTTATTACCGATCTCCCGGATTATGACACTGAACGCCAATCCAGCGTGACGCCTGGAATACCTCCGTTCGCGGGTCGACTAGGAGGACCGCAGGAATATCCTGATCGCAATGATCCTCGGAATACAAAACTGCTCAAGGAAATCCCTGATGCAGCGCCTCGCATGCATCTCTCTGAGGTTTTTGACCTCCGGGGGTTTTGCAGTTTGGATCTATGGAAGTTTGCTCTTCTGGAGTGTGTTGGTACGCTCATCCCAAACCCTCCAAGACCATACAGCAAACCTAAATGACTAAAGGAAGCATGATGTGCACCTTCATGACCGCCTGGGTAACCCTGCACGCGCCCTCCAAAACCGAATCCCCCAAAACCGAAGCCGGCATCTACGACACCCTCACCTTCTTCTCCCCCCTATTCGGAGGAATAACCAACGTCCTCCTCATCCCCCTCCTAATTTACACCTTCTCCCCCTCCAGCGGTGGCCACATCAGCCCCACAATAACCCTCGCCACCTTCTTCGCGCGCATGATCTCCTTCCCACGCATGGTGTTGTATCTCGGCGGGCAGACCTTCGGCGGCGCACTGGCTGGTTTCGCAATGCGCACTGCGTATGGGAGTCGCGAGTTTACAGTTGGCGGGTGCTATGTTGATACGGAGATGGTGCCGGTGAAGGATGCGCTGGTGATTGAGTTTATGAGTTGTTTGGTGTTGGTTTATGTGGCGTTTGGGGTTGCTTTGGATCCGAGGCAGGCTAGTTTGTTTGGACATGCGGCGTCACCGTGGTTGGTGGGACTTGTGTTGGGGATTGTTAGTTGGGGGTCTGCGTTTACGAGGGAGGGGTACATTGGTGCTAGTAAGTCTCCCTGATACTGGGATTGCGATTTGAGTGGAATGCTAATTGTGTAGGTGTCAATCCCGCACGGTGTTTTGGGGTTTATGTTGCGTCGTCGTTTCCGGGATATCATTGGATTCATTGGGTATGTTTATGCTTTTTTGAAACTGGTAGTTGGATCATACTAACGATGATAGATCGGGCCACTCGCTGCTTCCATTGGTCATGGATTAATTTACTATCTTGATCCGCTCTGGGTTGATCCCAGGCCGAAGAATGCATAGTTGAATAACTGTATATATAATGAATGCATGCATCAGAAGATACTTGTCTTTACTTCGATAGCCATTCAAACAACCAAGAAAAGTACAGAATATATCTGTACAGACGTTGCCAATATAACGGAGATCTCAGAACAAAATCATCGATGCTCAATTTTCTTCTTTGCGCTCGCCTTCAGATAACCCTGATTGCGACGTCTGCCAATACCTGATCACACATCCATTTTTCTCATTCATCCACTCCTCCAAACTTACGACTCATCAGTGATCTCGCGAACCATCCGAAGAAGATTATGATAATACAGCTCATTCTTCTACCCATAGAGACCCCTAGAAGAAAATACATATTAGTAAATCAAACCAGAACAACCGGACAATATATATCAACAACCTCCCATCCATCCCCCTCCTCACCCAAACAACCCATGCGGACAATTGCTCTCAACCCTCCCCTCTCATCTCCAGAACAAAAATCCATCAGCAATAAAATACACCTTCGGATCACGTTGCGGTATATGATCGTTGGAAGGTCGGATATAGATACAGTGACGGGATCCTTCGATTTCTGGGGGGGAGCAGTCATGGTGCTCGAGCTCGTCACATTGCCAACCCAGGATGCATCATGGATTCTGTAGGAGCGTGTTACTCCAGCATCTTGTCATTTTTTGCTTGCCCTAGAAGCGAGGGAATAGCTAAGCCCACAAGTCATAGGCCACAAGAGTCGTTGAAGTCACGGAGCATAGGCGTTCACCGACAGCGCGAGATGTTTGACTACTTTGACCTGTTTGAATTTAGGGCAGGAGCCCCTTCGCACACACTAGATAGCTCAGCGCTAGCAGGCCCAGCTTTTTTCCTTTCTTTCATCATGTTAGCATCCCGCTAGATAGTCTGCAAATAGACTCATATTGTTTGAGACCGTCACAGTTAATATTTAGTTCATCTGCAAAACGGGATGCCGCCTGTGTTTGGGTAATAAGTAGGGTATAGGGGTTTAGCATAACCGGGACTGGCATTAAAGGATCATTGGTTGATTCAGTACCAGTTTTTATGCTTACCCATGGCGCTAAGTGAAGAATAGTTCCACATATACAGTTTGGTCCAGAGAAATGGCTTCTATTTCATCTTTTCCATTTCTTTCAGCGTATGTAGAGGTTTCAGGTAAAATTTCAATGCCGATTTTGTTCCCAGTGAGGTTCATGATTGTGGTAATATTGCGCCTCTTGCTAATTGTTTATGCTCCAATGTTACCCTTTGGAGTGATAAATACACATTAGGGGATGAAATATTGCAGAGCGTCCGGATGCGCTTCTTCAGATCAACCAAAACATGGCATAGGTTATTTTCTTCTCGCATTTGTTAGGCTGTACAGGGGTCAGTCTTTATTGCAAATACAGCTTCAGAGCATAGCGTATACTGCAGATAGTATTATAGCGGCGGAAGAAGGCCTGGCTGCTGTGGTTGCCGCTTTGAAATACCCTTTCTTTTACTTTCCTGTCATTCTACATCTTTTTTTATGCTCTTAATTTATTTAAAATCCACCAGACTGAATCAAAGTCAATTGCATTTCCATTTGCTATTCACCACAGGTACTTACCATCCACCCCACCCTATAAACCCTAACATTCACAGCAAACATTGCGCAAACGACTTTTCTACCAAACTTCTTACTATAGCTAGTTTACAATAACTGACAAAGTGTTCCCTGGGATTAAGGAAAGTCAATCAGGAATTGAAATAGCAGGTGTCAGCTTACCCTGACCATCCATTGTACCAGCAAATAGCAAGCAAACAAACAACGAACACCTCTAACATCGAACTCCAATCCTCACACCAAGAACCACAAGCATCTTCATCGCAATATTTCCTAGACGCCAACTCCAAACCCCCAAAATGATCCGCACAAACCTCACCATTGCCGCTGCAATTCTCCGCGAAGAAATCAAGCAAATGATCCCCGAAACAAACACCGGATCGTTGCTCACCATCCCTGAGAACCACCAGCCGTGTCTGATTGAAGATAAAGATGGGAACAAGAATTATTTCGGGGACTTGCTCGCGACCAGATGCCTGCAATTGTTGAGGGCGATGGGGGTTGGTGGGAAGGTGTGCATATTACCTTGTTGCTTTTGGTAAAACATGTGGGCTGACTGAGATAGGACTGGGAATACCGTGTGGCGCATTTTCCGAACAATACCAAGATTAGCAATGACCGGAAGAAAGCGTACTTGGTGCCACTATCCAAGTACTTTATTCTGATTCCCGGGGGACTGCTATCTGAGGGGACCTATACTTATATCACCCATGATATGACGATTAGCAAAGGGGGCACTTTTATACTTTTTGTTCCTGAATAAGAGTCTAGAAGGAAAGAGGGTTTATCATGGCTTGAACTGGAAAAAAAAAATTCCCATTGATAATAAGCTATCATTGACATGTTCCATGATACGTAGACTATATGGGTTGATGAAGGTGCCGCTTTGGGAAGAAGTACTATCTTCCCTGTCCACGTTGATCCTCATCTCCTTCATACCACTCCTCAATCCATCTTGATTGCCCGCAGCATTAATAGCCCCCGCTTGCCTACTGTATACTGCGAACATTCAATGTTTGTAATCTCCTAAGCAGCAATATCGCGGAGATTGGTTACTGCAATCTTTCGCCAGGTCTTGCGCTTGGTAGAGTAACAGGGTATGAAAAGGACTGCAAATCAGAAGCTGCGTTTCGATGGCATTTTCAGCTGGGAGTGGCTTGGGGTTACCAGATGCTCGACCTCTTCTCTTCTTCTATCTAGTCAGCTTACCACGGCTCGCGGGTGGAACTGTGTCGCTGTTGGAATATGCAGCGTGGATGATTTCTACTCATCACACTTTTGTTAATAGACACACTCTATTTCGAGGCCTAAATGACAACTCATATTGTTATCCTTGTCGATGGCCATGTGAGCTATTTTGCACAATTTTATGAAACGTCTTGCGCGAAGGGCCCTTGTTTCCGCTTCGCCGCGGCAGTATTGGAAACAAGCAGTCAGTGCCTTTAAATCACCTTGAGACAGAGATAAGCGTGCAGCAGCATGGCCTCTAACAGTGCGCGAAGATGTTTAGTCTCTCAAACCTGGCCCTGCCCCATTTCATTCTCTGCGCACTGCCATTTCTTCTTCTCGTTGACCAACCTCCGGCATCCCCATCCGGCTGTACAATCACTTGGCGGCTGAACGAGATTGTGACGGCAATACCTATTTCCCCATTCACGAGTTGACAGTTCGGAATCTGAAATGGGGATCGGGGGCCGGAGGTCCGGAGAAGTCGATTATCCGCGACTAACGAGGTCTATATGGAGAGGATTAGCTGGACGAAAGAGGTATATTGCCTAACAAACGTATGTGCGTGTACGCAGCTGATTCGTTGCTTGTCTATCTAAACGTGCTCTCCCGCTGGTCTATATCATCGGACCGGCGGAACTTGCCTAATCGGTCCGACATTATTCCTTATCAAAATCCAATCGCTGATATTGAGCACGTGATATGTGGATAAAGGTCACGTGCAATATCTGGTACATCTTGTGACGAAAATTATCAACTAGAATTGCCCTTTCCATGACAGAACTTAGGAAGCTTAGATGTATTGTTAGCTACAGTGAGCTAAATATTCCTGAAATGGATTGAAGATGCTATGACTGACCAAATATGTCAGCCGGTCTGGCCAAGGCGTGGCACTATGGTGACAGCAGGAGAGGGATACAACGCACCGACCACAGGCCACAAAAGATCAAAAGATGGCTGCCAAACCTGTCGCCACCGGAAAAAGAAATGTGATGAATTGCGGCCAACATGCAGTGGCTGTATGAGAAACAATCTGTCATGTCAATGGCTCGCGCACAAGCCCCAACGTCAACGGCGCCGTCGACCTTGCCATCAGAATGGACAACTATGGCCTCGTGGTGTCAGCATCCCACAGTCACTCACAGGCATGGTGACTGTGTTTGCGGTGCCCAGCCGGCGGATGATGTGCCGCTTGCTGGACCACTTTACGCACTCCGGTCCGTTGTGGATGTCCATTGGACCCGGACGACGAGATAGGTTTCTACGCCATGTGGCTGGGTTTGCGTTGGAAAATCCGTTGACGTTGAACTGCATATTAGCTATGTCGGCTGCAGATTTGGTCAAATATGACCTTGAAGAACCGGAGCTTGGGACAATGGCGCTTGAGTTTTATGGCAGCGCTATAGCTGGGCTGAGTGCAAGGGTCAAGAAGGAATTAATCCCCAGATATCCAACCGAGAAACATGCCTCTGCATCAGGTAGACACCCATGTTTCAGGTTGCGGGGCTTGAGTGCTGACAATCTAGAAGACGATGTTTTGCTGGCTATCCTCTTATTATGTGTGCATGAGGTGCGTAACTTAACCTTCAAGAAAAAGAGTGCGACTGACAGGAATAGTAGGCACACAACTTTTCTGACGCCAGTCGGATGTTTCCCCACCTCAATGCGGCTGCCGTCATACTGCGGCAGCAGCGGTGGTGCTTTGCTCCACGGAATCCTGAGCTGCGAGCATTTCTCCTAGAGATTTTCTGCTACTTTTTCGCGCTGGTAGCTTTTTCTCACGGATCGAGCTTGAATATAGCTCCAGCAGCTGGGGTATTTGAATTAATTTTGGTCCAAGGTGATAATGTGAAGAGTCAAAGTCTACTTCTAGGACCCTCTCAGGAATTGATCGCTACCATCTTTCGCGTCTCTATGCTGACGCATTTCTCGAACAAGCCAATGGATGATGAGAGGCGGCTAGAGCTGGCACGTATAGAGCTACAGCTGCAGAGCCTAGATACGAACGTTCCGACTACAAATTCAAGACAAAATAACCAGGATGATCTGTCCCATGATGATCTGGCGCTGTTCAAGTTATACCGTCTCGCATGTCTTATATACGTCAAGGGAACCCTCGATCCGCGGATATCCCCTAGAGACCCTTCCCTCCAGCAGATCGTCATTTCATTCGTCAATGAACTGGGTTCTCTCCCGGGAGGTTCATCTTTGAACGGTCTTTTAGTCTGGCCGCTGGTTATCGCTGGTCTCTGTGCCGTTGCCTGTACTCACCAACGCATCATTATTGGGCGTTTTCGCACCATTTATAAAACCTGGAGAACAGACATAATGATCCGGAGCATGGAGTTTCTGCGTGACAGATGGAAGGTGTATCGTGAGCTAGAGAGGGCATCCGAAGCACGTGGTAGTTGTTTTGACGTGTCTTTGGCCTCGTATCTTTGTCTTCAGGACCTTCGTCTGCCAGCTGTCCTTGTTTAGCCGGAAGGACCTTCTCTATACTTGAATTTCATTGCAGCATCACGGCATCACGAACCGCCTACAGACTGTCCAACTACAACGAGGCCAAACTATTGAACGAATCAGCAACGCTTCATTGCTACATTATGATAAATACTAACGCTCTCGAAAACGCCAATCCAATCTAAGTTACCGACATGCTCAGCCCCTGTGCCTTCATAAGACGAATCCAATCCCAACTTTTCCGCTCCCCAGCATCATAGCACGCCCAGGAATTCCGAATTACATTCCTACACACCTGGACATTCCGAAACCGACGAGCCATCTCAATCCTATCTAATTGCTCCCCCAACAGCTCTCTATCTGGAACCTGCACGCAAGCCACAGCAATCAAAAACGCCGGAAACAGCCCAAACGACATCAACCATGGATCGTCAATAGCATCCAGACTCTCCAAACCCTTCCGGACCATAACTTGTACCTTATTGTCAGCAAGATTGTCCGGATAAACGATGAAAAACAGCCAGATGAATATTGCAGCGACATAGGCTTCGCACATGTTGCGATAATCGAACGATTCCTCATCGTCCGAGCCGTAGGCTGGCGGTCTCCATTTGTCGATATCTTTCCAGATGGAGAATGCCTGCGCGATTATTGGGCTGGACATCGCCCCTGCGACCCGGGCTTCTGAATGGAGAGCGGAAACGCGTGCGATGAAATTTAGCAGACCATTATTCACCCCGAATACATGTTCGCTTTGATCGCTTGGTTGTTTTTTAGAGATCAGGGTCTTCCTGGCCGGTTGCTGGATAGTCACGCTCGCCAGGGTGTCGTGGTAGATGAAGAATTGTACGAGGGATTGATTAACCCCTATACCTTCTAGGTCTTCATGCGATGGTTCTTTGCAACTCCCAAGCATATTAAAAACAACACTCCTCGCGCCATCTAATCGCATCCGCCACGCTCCATTCCCAGCCCCTTCCGACAACTCGTACAGGTACAGCAGCAGATACGCCGCAAGCAAGGCCTCGGGATCTGCAGTCTTCATTGCAGCGACTCGTGACGGTAATTCGTTTTCGGCCTCTTGTAGCAACTTTAACCTTTCCTCCGTTACACTGCGGGTTTTAGCTGCGGGCGTATTGTTGATCAGGTGCGATGCTCCGACGCAGAGAAGGGCTTTTGAAACTATTTTATTTCTCCGGGCTATTGTGACGATTACCGATACAAATGATTTTTCGTTTTCTTCTGTTGGAAGAGTCAAGATATTGGGCGTCTCTTTGACAAAGTGGTGGAAGAATCGCTCTGCGTGCGGAGAATTGATGTTCAACGCTGTGAAACTCGAAAATAGTTCCATCCTGAATCGCTAAGAATCAGAAAATCGATAAAGGCTATGGAAAAATGAAGAAAGTAAAAAAGGAGATATCTGACAACTCGCCACCCAAAGAAGGCGGCCCTGTCTGTAATATATATCTGCTCAGAACACCCTGAGACTTTCTTTTCTCTCGCGGTAAACGCGCCTATACCAGAACAAGAGACCAGGATTAGATTGTGTGCTGTTTTTTGTTTTCAAGCTTGCCCAATATAATATTTCTTGTTATAGTTTATTGGCAAGGAGACCGGAATCTATTTTCTGACGGTCGTCCGGGGGTGACACCAGGGGATTATTATATGTGCCGTGTTGCCAATACGGTCACAACACGCCCTATGGGACAGTGGATATGCGCCTGGTATGCAGATGTGAGATACTTGCATGTCCAATCAATAGTAACAATTATCAATCCGGCTGGTCGGAGAGTGATTATCAGTGATCGATGTTTGTACCAACTACTTATATGTACTTCTAGAATATGTAGAACCGCTGCGCTGTCCCCACTGACAATGTGTGTAAAACATGGCCGGTTTCTTGCATTTTGCATTTCCATTTTTGTAAAGGCACAGAGTAAGCGCATAGTTTATGATTCCGACTCGAAATGTTTGCTTGATCTCTGCTGACTCTCGATCTGACGATTCTCCTGTTCCGCTCTGTATTTCCGCTCCACTTTCCGAATAATCCGTGCAGGGTTTCCTGCCGCTACGTGATATGCTGGAACATCCTAGTCCAAAAAAGTCAGCGTTCGATGTTTGCTTTGATATTTCCGATTATATTGCTTTTTTTCGCGTTCCGCTTACGGCACAGAGTGCATGATACATACCTTTGTAACCACACTCCCGGCACCAATAGTACATCCATCCCCAATTACCACCCCGGGTAAAATAATTACACCTCCGGCAATCCAGCAATCCTCGCCGACGGTAATACACGCGCCCATCTCGGGCCCATTGGTGCCATTGCGCAAGTCTGGATCCAGGGGGTGCGTGCCACTGAAAAACGACACGTTCGGGCCGACCAGGGTTCGGGATCCTATGGAGACCTGGCAGGTGTCGACGAATGTGCAGTTGAAATTAATAAAAACTCCGCTTCCGACACTGATGTTTGTACCGTAGTCGATGTTGATGGGTCGTTCAAGCCAGGGATAGGCGTGCAGGGCGGCATCTTCGTCTTCTTCTGTGGTTGTAGATGCTGGCGGGAGTGGCTTGCTGTCATTTGTTATTCTTTTATCATTATTAGTATGCGATTACTCCGGATTGGTCGAAAGGCCGGAGTATACTCTTTCCAGTATTCTGCGACTTCTCGTCGGCTTAGCTCCCCTGCACTATTGAATCGGCTGACCACCCGTGCGCATCGTTTCCGCGCGGCCACGAGTTGCGGAGTAAAGGCGTAATAGAGCTCGCCGCGCTGCATCCGCGCGAGATTTTCTTCTTCGTTAATGTCGAGTCGCATCTTGGCAAGATGCCTGGTTGTGTGAGAGCGAAGGACTTGGAAAACTGGTTTATATATAGTTGGTTCCTATGTTTGTTTAGAGTTCTGAGCTTTTCCTCTTTTGGTCTAATAGTAGCCGCGGTGGTCCACTGACATTTGACCCGGCCAATAATGAAGTACACTGGGCTTGTACGTTCGGGTAATGGGTCCATTTTTGTCCTGAAAAATGGGGCTCGGATGCCGCTTGGGTGCTTAATGTGGTTATACCGTCGTGCAGAAGCCCAGCATCAACAGTTCTCATTGGTGCACAGATCTTAAGAAGAAACTGATAGTAAACAAAAGGATTCAGATAGCTCAAAACTGGAACAATTTTTACCCTCATGACAATCGGGGACATAGGTATCGCTTACTAAGCGCGAGGGAAGCTAACTAGTTAAGTCAGTGCATTCTCTATATACTTCCACGTGTAACATGAGGAGCAGCAAACGCCAGTATCCAGATCATCCATAGAACTGTAGCACGGGACCGTTGGCTCGGAGCACCGCACTTTGAGGTCGCCAAACTGGGGCACTCAGGATAGTACCAGTTTTTCGTCGCAAATGAGCCCGGACAGATAGGATGTCTCGGACTCGGCTTTTTGAATGCCGTATCGAATACCTTAGCAGGCAAATATACTCCACATCATTCCCTATGAGCAAGCGACTCTTCCAGGAGAATGAAGTTAAGACATGAGTGAGTGCACGAAATCCAGGAGAGCAATAGCAAGCACATTGAATCGTCTCGAAGGGTAACGCCATAATGTATGACGTCTGTAAAGAATCGAGATTGGAGTTCATTCAGCGGCGTGGGTGTTTCAGCATTGATCTCCAAGTCTCCGGTGGAAGTAGGTTGCTTGCACACGGGCTCTACACGTTTCTGTAGCAGAGACTCAGGTGACAGATCCAAGGGTTTGTGAATACCCGCAAGCCCAAGTCGGGGGACTGATGGTTTAGTCCCATAAACCTCTATTCGTGCAGCGATTGTTCTAAATCCGGTACCCAAATCGACCTCAGTAGCCTATACACATAACACGAAATCGGATGGAGCGGGTTCGAAAAGGGACCTCTTTCCGTCTCCATCCCCTGGAATCGCCTGTTTCCTCTTAGAGCTTTTTATATCCCAGGAACGTTGCTTCATCCAGGGAGCCCTTGTGGCTTCCACCATGGGATGATAGCGAAACAACTTGCCTAAGAGACACGGTAAGCATATATCGATTGGCTTTGTCAGATTATGAAAGTAGAAATCCTCAATTAATACCTAGGATTCCCAAGCTCCGGCTTGCTTCATTGCCGCTGCTAGATGCGCCTGAAAATGCCTCAATGAAATGCAGCTAACGCCCGGGGTCAGTGAAGATCATCTTGGCATGACTCTTAATGCTTCCCCAGCTCAATACGAAAACTGGAATGCCAATCAGAGGAACTACACAACCAACGCTGAAGTCATAGGGCGCTTCCTTTACCACCGAACATAAGATATTTGTTGACAATGATAGGTTGCTTCGGTCACATGACTCGGTCTATTTCTTTGTTCTTCGGCAGCCTCGCGTGTCTTTGGTGTATAAATAGCTTATTTCTATCAAAGAATCTACTATGATTTAACTGTTCATATAGCTCGCCAGCATAATGTCACGTGCCACATACAGCCACGCGCGACTGGACCGTCACATCACACCCAAGACATCTAGACCCCGGTATATCCTGAGAGCACCAGAGCGCCAAGTCGCTTTTCGACAGGAGCATATCGCAGAATATAAGACCAAACTAATTCTCAAACCACATGGCGACGCCCAATCGGAGAATGCATATATAATCGCACATGAAGAAGGCGCGCCCGCATTCACAGCAACTGGCCGGAAACATAGTAATCGCTCCTGTCGGGAAGTCCGCGACGCCTCGGGTCTGCCTTTATTTGATATCCACAAGAAGCCGCTTTCAAGTCCCTTTAGTTGGGTCGTTACCTTGCCCGGAAGCAAACCCAGTGCGGATGCGGCAATAGCCAGAGCGACACCTCACTGGAGCTGGGGCAGCATTAATCTGAATTTCCTGTTTCGCAACGGCGCTGCTGTCGAGATGAAAAATGAAGCGGATAAGGAGCTGTCATTGACGGTCAAGAAACATGGAGAGGTTCTGTCATTCTTTGATGTTGTGGATGGTGATCGGAGAATCGCCGATATACGTGAGAGTATCATCCACAATGAGAAATTGGCCTTGAGGAGGGGCTCCCGCGGAGGAAACCATCGGCCTGCGTTGGAATTGATTATTGCTCCAGGAATGGATATGTCATTGGTAAGACCGTGAGCCGTCATGTCGATGGTATATCAGCTAATCCCGGACCAGGTGGCAGCGATCGCGATCATTGTGTCGGATTGGTTTTTCGGGCCAGACTAAGTGAAAGGCGTTGAAAAGCAGTGGAGTGAAATAGACTATAAGCGAAATAATATATAATTCAAGGTTTCTTCATGCATCAAAATATGAACTGCAGCTTCCACGTTGTGCCAGTTGCCAGGTTTCTATAACCCGAATACGCGGAATTCCATCGCTTAGCGAGACTATGAACCAGACTGTACTTACACTTATAAGACATTATAGAAGAGGGACTAACGGGCATTTTCTGATTCGTTTCAGCTACGACACATACCACTTCACTCATCATATTGGACCCGCTGCGGGCTGATGGTTCCCCCAAGCTCACATCTGATTCGTCTGATTACTGATCAGGACCCTAATTCGACCGACTCTACCAGCGATTATGCTGGCAGTGTGATATTCGGATCAATTCAAAATTGTTTATACTAAGCGAAGTGCTTAATTAGTAGTGCTGTGCTTGATCGACAACACATATATAGCCACGGGTGCCCAAAAAATGACAGAAATTTCCATCTCAAGCAACGCACAATTACCCAAACCCATTGAAAATGACAGCGAAACCCTTCAAAGTAATCATCGCCGGTGGTAGCATAGCTGGTCTTTCCTTGGCCCTGATGCTAGAAAAGAACGGAATCGACTTTGTTGTCCTCGAAGCCTACCCGAGCATCGCGCCCCAAGCGGGAGCCAGCATCGGCGTCTTGCCCAATGGCCTACGCATCCTTGATCAGCTAGGTTGCTGCGATGAAGTGGTTGCTATGGCTGAGTATCCTGTGGAAAAGGTAATCTTTCGGAATTCGGCCGGGCAGCCGTTTTGGTCTTTAGAGGATTTTGGGAGGGACATGGTTGATCGGTAGGTTATATCCAGTCCATTTTGAACTTGTGGTGGGAATCCCGTTTGCTTACGCGTATTTTGCAGCCACGGGTACCCTGTTGTATTTCTAGATCGCCGAATGTTGATCCAGATACTGTACGACAAGATTGAAGACAAGTCCAAGGTTCTTACTTCGGAAAGGGTTGTTGCTATCGAGAATGCCCTACCGCACGTCACTGTCACTACGCAGATGGGCAACTCATATACGGGTGATATCGTTGTTGGAGCAGATGGGATTCACTCGACGGTTCGGAAACAAATGTGGCAAGAAGCTCAGCGGACAGATCCGACATGGATAGATCCATCAGAGAGAAATGGTATGCATACTGCTTTGTCTTGAGTTCTAAACCATAACTGATCATTCAAGCCCCCCCGGCAACATACGCGTGTATATTCGGTATATCCAGAGGTGTTCCCGGCATCGAAAAAGGAACTCTCAATTCCGTTCTCAACGAACACACTTCATATTTCATTCCCAGTGGACCCGGGGACAGAACGTACTGGTTCCTAGTGAGGAATCTGGGTAAGACTATGCATGGATCAGATATTCCCCGGTTCACAAAGCAAGAGGAGGAAGCTATGGTAAAAGAACACTGGGATGACTACGTTACCCCGACAGTACGGTTCTCTGAACTCTACAAGAATAAGATCAGCTCGGTGTATACGAGTCTCCCGGAATATGTTTACAAAAAGTGGTATTTTCAGCGGATCATGACGATCGGTGATGCCAGCCATAAAGTGAGTACTCAGCAACATCATCTTCTCAAACAAAACTAATATCACCCAGTTCGAGCCAATAACAGGACAAGGCGGCAACAACGCCATTGAAACAGCAGCCTCGCTCACCAATTACCTTATATCGACCCTAAACTCAAACACCTTGCAGCTCCTTTCAACAGAGCAGATCTCATCTGTCTTTGAAAAAGTGCAAAAGCAACGACATGGCCGTGTCTGGGACCTAGTTAAAGCCTCCCACACACGCCAGCGCCTCGAATGCATGGAAACACCAGCGCTCAAGTTCGTCGCCAAATACGTTCTCCCGCTCATCCCGAAGCAGGCCCTGAAGGATAAATGGATAAAAACGTATTGCCCAGCGATTTCGTTAAGTATGCTTCCTCAGCCTAGCCGCCCGATGCAGATTCCGTATCATGATGAGCTGTTTAGAGCACCAGTATCTCGTGGATGGCCGGGTCTTATGGTATATGCGGCGTACATCAGCCTCGCTTGGCTTGCTTTCCAGCTTTTGTTTGTTGCCATGGAGGGAAATGGCACTCGGGATCTGATTCGTGATGTCATTGTTCGACGTGTGATGACAGAAAAGGAAGTTCCTCTTCGTCAGAACTATACCGGCTGGCAGGGAATTGATCGAATTCTGCGGGTTCTGGCGGCTATGTTTTTCTCGACAGTGACCAGCTCATCTCCTCAGCAGATCGTGCAGATATTCTATTTCCTCTCTGTGGTGCTCCCTTTGGTTACCATTTTTACCGTCGAAGGCTTTCGGCCCAAAAATAAGTGGACGCTTCTTGCAGTGTATGTGTACCCTAGAGTCGCCTCCTTATTGACTGTTCTGTGCTAACAATTCAACAGCCCCAGTCTATGGGCAACTTTATGCCAGCTCCGTGGAATCGGGTTTATCGCACCGCTGTACTTCCTGACAGGTGCCTTTGTCTCGCGAAGTATTGAGTACTACTCGCCGCCATTCACGGCCTTGCCTGTAGCTACGGCCAAAGCTATACTTCCGGCGGCGATATTCGGCTTTATCATCCCCAGCATGTTGCTGTTCTTTCCATATAACGACGCAGATATACATCAGGTTGTAATCGCTTTCTGGCAGCCAGCACCAGTGCTCGTTCCAATCTTAACAGGGGTCTTCTCATACCTTATCCAATCGCAGATCGGGAACTCTAACAATGATGGATCCAAGCAGATGAAGGAGGAAACGGACCTCTCTCATCTCAAAACAGTATACAAAGCAACAGGTATCATATCCGCATGCTTTCACATTTTTACCGCTGTCGGTTGCATGGTCTCAAATGATATCTCTTTAACCAATGTATTGCTACGGAAAGACTCGTTCGCTCCTATCTCCAATCTGGGAGACGGTGTTTTCGTTTTCTTTCAGAATGACTGTCTGATGACTGCGGTGGCTGTTTTCTTATGCTGCATGGTTGCCATTCGCGATTTGTATAGGGTGGGATTATCGAACGTCACTTTGCTGGGTGGAATGGGCGCAGTTGTTGCTGGGTTTGGATTTGTTGGTCCTGGGGCAACTGCTGCTGCTGTTTGGTACTGGCGGGAGCATTTATTGGGTGGGAAGGATGCTAGACGTTGATACCATCTATAAAGAGAGTATGACTGATGTTTTGGAACGAGAAGAGAAGAAGCATTACAAAGTATCAAATGTACTATACTTCTCTAAGGTGATATCAATCAAAAGTCCACCGTAAATTTTGCCATATAAAGCTTTCTATGTCGCGACGGCGAAATCCAGCAACGCATCCCAGACAAATACAGAGCCGACTTAGTCCTAAGGAAATCAGTAACTCGTTCCAAATACCAGAGTCCTGTTAAGACTCACCGTTGATAAGGGTCACCTCATCGAGAACTGCAACTATGTTACTTGAAAATACCTGTCCAGACAGAGCCAGACTAGACTCTTCGCCAATAGAAAAAGCGGAATCATAACAACCAACGAGTTGAATACCCTTATTAACCAGATATTCCTCAACATCCTTCACATCAAACCACTCCTCCTCACTCGGAATGACCCGCACCCCATTCGTCTCCTGAAAGGGAAGTAAATTGTGTATCCCAGACAAAAAATGTGCTCCTGCATTTCCAAGACTAATAAATGGAAATCGACAATCAGGTATCGGATTACACGTGCTCGTACTAAGCACCCGCTCAAAGTAAGAAATGATTTCTTGCCGCGGAAGGTGTTTCAACATGAGCCCAAATTCGGGCCACATCTGCGCGTCTGTTACTGTTGGGTTGGTGAGATATCGATGACCGCTTTTCGCACATGCGAAGAAGAGTTTCTGGGTGAAAAGTGTTGTTGTGTATGGGGTTGTCTGGTTGGTTGTGGTGAGAGGTGGGTATCTTGCGTTATCATCATGATTTGGGTTCTGGATTGGTGGGAGGATGGAGTTGGTCGAGTTAAAGAATAAGTGCCAGAAGTTTGATGTTAATGGCAATTCGGGAGTGTTTTTATTAGTAGGGCCAGGAGTTGATTGACATGGCTCCGAAAGGACTCTGTTAATCTTCCCCTGGAACTCACATCCACTGACAGCAGGGGAACTAGCCCTTTTAGCTCTTTTCAAATGCTCCCCAACCTCGTCCTGAAGCAATAAAACACTCTGGATCAGTTTAGACTGCGAAATAAACACGTTTTCCTTAATAACAGCATCATGGAAGATGCCCATAACCTGGCCAACCTGATCCACTACAGCCTCCAGCTGAGCGACACGCGCTTTCAGCGACTCAAGCTGCGACTGCTGGCGAGACCGATACGCCCTCTGTGCCTCTCGAATTTGTTTCCGTCGTTGTTGTGTTTGCTGTTGCCTTGGGTTAACATGCGGGCTCGGTAGAGGTGACGCGTGGATTACCTCGGAGGTGCTTATTGAGGACTGGCAGGGCCGACCTCGTGTGCTTGGTATCTTTGGAGTACTGGGGGTCTGCGCTTGAAGCATTGTGATATATTTAATTACTTAGCTCTGGTATATTGCAAAGACTGTCGGATAAAATGTTGGATCTTCAGGAGTTATGCCAGTAACATGCATATTGATTACTAATTAACACGTCCTGGTGCCTAATATACCAAGTGTCTGCTAGAAGAGCCCTGAAACCATCTCCAGCGACAAACTCTATATAACATTTCTTCTTTCACAGAACCCAGCCAGCGTCAGCCTAAAAAACTAGTGCTAAACCAGACCTCTACTCGCGGATGCATTGAATGATCAAGCCATGCAGCTGCAGAAAGACCTTGCATCATTGCATGTGAATGGAGAACTTGCGATGGCATGCTAAGACTATCCAGTGGCCTACTGGCCATTTTCGCAAAGCTCTCAACCCATGGAAATAGTTTACACAGCTCGAATCTCTTACATGCCATAAGGCTTAATGCGACATCTTTTATGCTAGAGGACCGAAATCGATGAACAATTCGGCAATCCATTCTAGGTGTGCCTCTGACCTGAGCCCTCAAGGTAGTCGGCGAGATGGAAGTACCCTGTGTGGAAATTTGCCTTGGAAATGGCCGCGAGGTAACCGGCGACAAGGAACTCAAGGTTTGTGAGAATATGATATACCTCTAAAAATGTCCATGCACTCTGGGGGTGGGGGGCTCGGTCTGCTCTAAAGCCTATCACAACGGACAGCCGATGACAGTTATGCGTTGACTTTGGAAATTTATAAGCCAGAGTGTCAGAACTTCAATTACATAATCTTTTCTGTTCGAAGTATCGTGGGGTTACTCAATAAACTGACATGTTGGGGGACGTACAAGTCGCCGTTAGGTTTGAAAGCCACATCGGTCAAAACCAGCCATCTGGCACACGCCGAAAAGAAAATGGTTCTGTTTCAGCCAGGGCCCCTAAGAAGCAACAACTACACTAGGTCCAGGAAAGATTAGAAAAAAAAAAAATGGGTCTGTGAGTATTCTCACAGCACATATTGTCGAGTATATCACTCCAGGATAGAAAAATTTGCGTATAAGACATACCTTCTCTGAGCTGTAAGGAAACTCTCTTCCTACGGCAATATAACCATGCATTAGAAAGATAAAAAATTCCAGGGCAGACCACGATACATGAAATCTAAACTCACCACAATCCCTCAATTAACACTGGAGCACAAGCAACGCAGTCTTGTTACGAGTATTCAGTCACCAGAAAATGCATGGGACAC